ACATTTGTCTTATATAGAAAAAACACATCTATCATTCTCTTTATGGCTTCTAGGGTCTGTTTTATGAGTATTTGTTTCTCTTTGGTCAATCATGTTATTTTTAGGAGATTTTAGTAATACTATAATTTTATCTCACCCTTCTATCTTAGCAATTTAGTGCTGGTTTGGACTCAAGCATTAATGACCAGAATTTTATTTCTTGCCTAAAGGTAAGCCTGAGGCTGTTCAACTTACTCTTGAACAAGTAACTATCTCTGTCTAGTAGTTTTGGTCTTGGACCCCCAATATTTGCTCTTATTATACATGATTCCAAACATCAAGGGAGGATACTGTTATTAATCCCCCTCCTTGCTGTGGAATATTCCTTTACACTGTATGAATATATGTCATTGTGATTGGTTTAATAAAGAAGTCGGCTGGCCAATAGCTAAACAGACTAAGGTTAGTCAGAAGAGCCAGAAAGAGAATGCTTCAAAAATGGAGTTTGGAGTCATCAAGCTAGACACAGAGGAAGCAGATGAATGTGCCATGCTAATAAGAGTACTTCTATGTGGCAGTGTAAATAAAGGAATATGATTTAATTAAAAAAATGTAAGAACTAGTTAGTAATAAGCCTGACCTATTTATTGGCTGAGCATTTGGAATTAACATAAGCCTCAGTGTCAGTTACTTGGCTACTGGCAGATAGGACAGAAACTTCCAACCACAACAGCAGGGAAAGGCGGGGGTTGGGAAGAGGCTTTCCCTCCAGGACTTTTGTTACCACTACCTTTTAACTCAGTTTCATGGGAATAATCTTTTCTTTTTCTTTCTTTCTTTCTTTTTTTTTCCCCCCATGAGGGTCTGAGGTTTACTATTTTATTCTCTGGTTCCTTCAAGTCACTTGGTTACCACCAATAGAAACCCATTTTAAGATTCCATTTATTTTTATGTATGTATCAGCACAAATGTTGATGGAGGTCAGAGGACAATTTACTGGAACTGGTTCTCTTCTAGTATGTGTACAGGGAACCTAAAACAGGTTGTCAGGCTTGGCAGCAAGTACATTCACTAACTAAGCCATTTTGCCAATCTGAGAATTTCATTTTTTTCCTTACAAAAGGTAAACTTGTACAGAGGATGCATGATAGTCTATAGTTAAAGGAAAAAAATGGCTAATAGGCCTTGAAACAGGTATGAGGATTCTTTAGGGTATTTTGTATCATTGCTTGTTTTGTTTCTTTGGGACACTTGCATCAGAATGATTCAACTTCTGACACTTCATTTTGCCTCTGTTCTCTTTAAAAACCAAAGTCCTGGTGGAAAAGAAATTTTGACAAGATATGATTGGATTGTTCAAATTTTGGCCAGGTGTATGAGGTCAGTGTATTGCCATGCACTGTTCTACAAAAACAACACAGAAAGGCAAGGAGTAGCTTTTCAAAGAGTGGAGGTGTTAAGTGAAGGAAGTGATTTGGGGCAGGCCAAAGCAATGGATGTCCATTATATCAATAGTTAGTGAAGAATCTTCAGTGGACCAGTAGCCAGGATGCAAATGTCACATTGTCATCACTCATGAGTGCTTCAAGACACTCATGGGAGTTTGTCTAAGCTGAAAATCCAAGGTGTATGTATAGTAGATTTAGTACTCTACTAAAGTGACTCATTTCCTTCTCTTTGCCTAATGTGAGCAATTCAATCAGGATTTAGTAGTTTAGCCATCACTTTCAAATCTGGAATCTTTCATGTAGAATGAAGAAGCTATCAAGTTATGGTAATTTTGATGACTCAAGATGTTTTAAAGGATGCTTTAAAAACTAAGGAACAATTACCAAACTCTAAGCTTCTTGAAGTGTAGCAGTCTGGCAGCTTGCATAATGTTAGAATGTGTGTTAGATTTGATATAGTGTTAGATTTTAATCATTTGACAACTAGGCTCAAGGTTAAGTAATTTGTCAAGGTCTAACAGTAGGCACTTAAAGTTCTTTAGTTTTTAAGTAAAGTTTAAAAGTAATGTGGTAGTGTAAAATAGTCAGATAAAGAAGGTAAATCTCATGTAATCTACACTGCTTAAAGAAAGCCAGTGATACACTTTGAATGAGTTCACACTATGCATTTCTATCAACTTGTTTCACAAGGCCTCATGACTATTTTTTGATATCCACTCATAATAAATTACCTTACTTATGTTAACAACTATGTAGACTTTCTTTTGTGGCTCAACCACATTGAATTCAACCAATCTTTGAAGTTTCTACCAGTAACTTTTATGTTTCTGTGAGTATATTGTTTTTCTTTTAGAAAATAATTTCAGTGTGGCCTTGATCTCTAGCTTAATAACTAATCTGAACGTGTCAAGTTTCATTGCTGGTAACTAGTAATTAGTCAGGACTCAATTTCAAGTAATAGAAACCCAACTCCAAAGTAACTTCAACAAAAAAGGTTATTTATTGGTTCACATAACTGCAAAGTCCAGGGGATATACCACTAGCTTCAGGCACGCTTGGATCCAGGGGCACAAATGTTGCCATCAGAACTCCAAGTCTTTTGGCTCTGTTTCCCTCTGCACTGGCTTCATTTTTCTGCCTGACTAATTCAACATAGTAGGCCCTGTTGGGTTGAGTTTTTCTCCTACAACGCTAAAGCATTTAAGTAAAGAGAACTTCTCCACAACTGAGTAAAACACCTAGGGTTGATTATCATTGGACAAACTTGAATCATGCATCCATTCTGGAACCAATCACTAGAGTCTTCGATGGACTGCTGATTGACGAGGTTGAAATAACATGTCCAGCACAAGATTCAACAAGACTGTCTAAATCACATGGGCTAAAAATTGGAAGAGACAGCTCCAAAAAACTTCTGGAAGTTGTTACAGTGAGATGGAATGGACATTGGGGGGAAAATCCAGGATAAGACCAGGTATAAAGAGCTTAATCTCTGCCCATAAATTTGATTTATAGTAGCTGGTATGTCTTCCTTGGCAATCAAATTCTAAAAATCACTAGGAGTAATGTCTGTCCTGTCATCAGGAAACCCACAATTCACTTGAATGAATAATAATCTCCATTAACATCATACTCTGGGATTCACCACAGCGTTTGTATTCAAGTCAGATTTATCAGCGCCTCACTATATTGGTGATGTGAAACAGGCAAACCAGCCTCCCAGTTGGCAAACAGGTCTGTGAGGCTATTTGAGTTAGTGTCAAATTAAGTTCAGTGGTAAATTTCTGATGTTGCTTAATGTCTTGTCAAGGTGAACTTATAATTTCTGAGTCCTGGTCAATCATATTCATTTCTGAGTTATCACAGGAGAAAAAAAAAAAAAAAAAAGCAACGTGCTTTGCTTTCAACCTGCTATACTCCTGTTAGAACAGATGATTTAGGTGTCGGAAATAAGCAGGTTATTCTCTACTTAAAGTTGCTGGTCTAGGAGTATGCAGCATGGTCCTTCCTTTTGGAATATTAAGTCCTGGCGGGGTAAGGTACAGGCTCCTTCTATTCAAAATTCCTTGGTGGAACTGGGCACGGGAGGCTGAAACTGTAGTCTTCCCAGGGACAGTTAGTGTGATTGCAGTAGCATGTCAAAATAGGCAGTTTAAGAGCTGAAGACAGGTAAATAGACGAGCAGGGCCAGCCATACCAATAGTTAAGCTATAAACTGGAAGAACAGGCAGATTAATAATGAAGCTCTATAAATTGTCTTGGGTACTCCAGAGTTAATCCACAGGGTTTACTCCAGACATAATTTTTTGGATCTTAAAGGGCTAGTTGGGTATAGCAGCTTTCATTTTCTTGCTCATATGTGCAAGAACTGTCAGCTTAGGTGGCTATATCCTCAATGCAGACTTGAGATTAGAGTTTATGCTACATCTAGGAGCAACAGGATTGTAGAGCCAGGTTTGTTGTAGTTGGCTCTACTTTCTTTGGTAATCAAGTCTTCAACTTCTGTAATACAGCCCATCTCCAAGAATCATCTTAAAGGCAAGTCAAGGCCTCAGACTACGTGGGTAGCACTGTTGTAAGATTTAGATGAGCTCCAAGGCAAGAAGACAGTAGACAAGGCCCGAGATTAAGGCATTTGCCTTAAGTTTTAGTTTTTTCTACTTAACCAATTACTTATTAGATTCTTGATTCCTCATTTTAACTGAGTATGGCAGGATCATAGGGAATGACTGGCAGTGTAGATTTTTAATTTTTTTTTCTGCAAATACAGTAAAAAGAAAAAGCTAATGTAGAGGTAATAGGAAAGTGAATCTGTAATTTCTTCTTTACAAATAAGTTGCATTTACAAGCAGAAGTCATCCAAATTGAATTGCTGTCTGTGAGCAGTTTAGAATAACCAGATCTGAATCTGATTTGCTGATTTGTGTTGAGAAGCACAAAATCATGATTAGAGGATAAGAAACAAGGATATAAAGAAGGCAGTTCCAACATTTACCCAATGCACTCAAGAGTAGCTGATGATAGTTGGCCCTTAAATTGACTATACTGTAGAGGGATCAAATTTTCTCACGCCACAAATTAAAGTCTTGTTCACTATATGATTTCAATATTCATGAATTTTATCCTTTCTGCAAAAAAAAAATTAATAATCTTAATGTCTTAAGAATACTTCATAGTAAGGAATAAAGTCAGCCATTCTGAACTAGTGTGAAGTGATAGTATGAGAAAGATGACAAAATATTCACAAGGACAGAAACTCAAGAACACTGAGAAAAATCCTTAGCTGCCATTTATAGATTTTTTTCCCCCCAAGTTAATCTACTTTTCCAACAAAAAGATTGATAATATGCCTAGCTAGCTATCATGGCCTAGAGTCAAAGAATTTGTGTCCATCTATGCCCATCACATACAGCTGATGGTACCAGGCATGAAGAATAACCATTAAAGAATAGCTCAATGAGTAGAGCTATTTTTTAAGTCACATATATGATAAAGGATGTTCAGAATGTGTCTTCAGGGTCATCTGTTCCATGTAGAGGTGAGTAGTTCAATTAATTTTGAAATAGGCAGAAATACAAGTGTTGGAGGAATTTAATATTTGTTTTTAACCCTTGGAAACAGTAGTTGTTACATAAAACCATGGTGCAGTTTAATTACTAGCTCAATCACATGACTTGGAATTTGAGACAATGAATGATAACCAGGTTGCAAGCCCCTTTAGGAAAAACTGTATTTGGATTTTGCTTCATAGTTAATGGTTATCCTTTATACATGGAGTACCATAGTTAATGAGGAGAGGCGAAACGAACAACTTGGTCTAAGATGGCCTTGATGAGGCATCAGCTTCAATACCAGCTTTCAGGCAATTCGCATATCCATGTTCCAAGATTTCTAAATCACATACTTTCACAGTTAATGATACATGAATTGTTCTCTGGCTATATCCAACTCCAGGAAGTCTACCTTGGATGGAATGCTATTAATAAAATTTCACTTGACAACGCTGTTTGATTGTTCTCTGGACAAAAGGCATACCCATCTCCAAACGTTCATCAGCATCAACTGAATATGTAGAGTTGAAAGTACATAAAAGGTCAGAATGTCCTCCAGATCAAACGTTGTCTAGGGCAGTGGTTTCAAGCAGTATTTTATGAAGAATTTTACATAAGGAAGTCCCTTTAGATGTTACCATGATGGTAAAGGAAGATAGCTGTGGCAGGCTGCAGACTCCCTACTTCTGCTTCACTACTTCATCCAGAGCAGCTTCACTTTACTCTGGACATCCACATAGCTTTCCTTCAAAGGCCTTTGTCAACATAAAGCCTTTGGAAAACCAGTGATAGGGTAAGTTGTTCACATAATGCTGAAATACAAAAAAATAGGTCATGGGAACCAGGATATAGGTAAACAAGTGCCATGCTAAGACAAAATAAACAAAGTGCTTATCCTTTCCCTAATGTGGACCATGTTACTGATTGATGGAATTAAAACTTTATTGTAAATTTTAATTACTTAAAAGTTAAGCTTTTAGTGAGTAAAATGACTAAAAAGATAGACCACACACTAGTGAATGGCCCCATGAGTATCTGGGCAGGGGATGAGGTGGGGAGACATGAAGTTGAAAGAGGGTAGGTAGTAGTTTTTGGGAAGTTGGAGTAAATAAATATGATGAAAATACATGACATTCCCAAAGAATTGATAAAAATAATTGTATTAAAAATGACTACTGGGGAATAAGACTATTGATTTTAAGTTGTAATAGCACTGGGAATTTGCAAGCATTATTTTTGAGAAGTCAAAGGTTGGATGACTTCACTTAAGCAGTAAGATCTCACTGGGCCACAACTCTAATTCTAAGAATACCTTTTCCTTTGTTAGTTAAAAACAAAATATGAGAAAGGGCAGTTTCAAAGACAGTGATTTATTATGGGGGTCTTCAGGCCAACCTGCTGATAATTAGCACTGGTAAGACAGCTCTTAACAGTTTCCCATTCTGCTAAAAAGAATACTGGAAAAACAAACAGAAACAAAACCCCCACAGCTATCTGCTTGGAATGATGTATAGCACGTTGGGCTAAAACAACTAAATAAAGCTTTGGTACATATTTTGAGACCCTAATCCAGTACACTGCACTGTTTGTGTGGGGACACATATTACATACAAAAATCTACCTAATAATTTGGGGACAGACCATAGGTAAGTTTCCTGTGTCCAGGAACACTGATAAAACTTAAAGTAGAAACAAAAACAAATACAGATCTGTAATTAATTAGGCTATTCTTGGGAAGACCATAAAAATGAGTAAGAAAAATCTAAAACTATTTGTTTTATATTGCATAGCCTTGTTTGCTAACAATTTCTCTTCCTTCCTTCCTAAAGCAAATCACCAACCACCATGGAGACTGTGTGTTCTTACACTTTAAGGACATCATTAAGGAATTCTGGTCTAAATACAGTTACCATGATTAAACTTCAAATATCTTGCTATAATAAGGGCCATATAAATTAGAAACATGAACATTTTCAGTCCCCAGCCATTTTAATACTGTAAATAAAGTGAAGGCTGAGATAATGCCAAGGCTAATACTGGACTGGGAGTCAGAAGGACTACCTTCTATTACTGTCACCTTGGAGAATTACTTAAATTCTTAAAAATTCTGTTCCTTCATTTCAAAAGGGACATCACTGTTTGTAATTAACATAAATGTACATGAAAGTGCTCTGAACCTGTAAAGTGCTATATAAACAGAGGAGATTACCATATAGTTTCTATCTTGATGTGTCAAGAGGTCTTTTCCGGAATCTGGTTGAAGCCTTATCAGATGGTTAGGTAAAGGGATTCCTTAGTAGAATTTCTTAAATTGGCATGAAAAGTTTTGGTTCCTGAGTAACCCAAAGATGGTACTATGCGGAATTCAATGTGCCTTGGTTTTGATCCCAGTGAGTCAGAATATCTGTTTTCTCATTCAGTAGACAGCTACAAATTTGAAGTAGGAAAAAAAACAAGAGTCCAGTGACCTTGACAGGATCCTAGGCAGTTCATTAAACTTCAGTCATTTGAGATTGTGGAGTATATGTTCCAATGCTGTTCTCAGAGATGATGCCATTTTCAGACAGTGTTGACAATTTAAGAACAAAACACAAAATCCCCCAGTCCAAGTTTACTATGTGTCTCTGAAGACTTTTAACTGCAGAAATGAACTGTACATATTTATGGAATAAACTTGGCCTTTGTTGTGATAAAATAGCTTCAGTTATTTGGCTTGAAGACTCTTGACTGCACTATAAAGGGCCGTGCTGAATCTGAGCAGAGTAGAACTGGAGTGGAGGTTAAAGGTCACATCATGATGGCTAAATGCTTCTTGGGTCACAGTGGTCCAATGGAATGGTGTCTTCTTCAGTAGTAAGGTGGTAGGAATCACCATGGACAAAAATCCAGGTACCAGGTCTGCAGGCTGATGGACTAGCCGAAGGAAGGTCATCAGAGGGTCCAGGTGAGCACTCAGCAATCAGGAGGCACAGGACTAGAAGGGGCAGGGAAAAACAGGTAAGGTAACAAGCACACAGAACTATAAATACAGGAGGCTAACACTGGGGTGTGGGGGCTACTGTCAGCACATCAACTGTCTGATAAGTAAGTATTCACAAGCCTGGCTTAGATGGTGATAGAGAAATTACTAGAGACAGGGTCAGCAAAATAAAAAAGCTAGATGCACAGATGCTGCTAGTTCTCCAACAAAGACATTTTTCTGACTGACTCAGGGATCAACAAATAGGAAGTGCCTTAAAACTCCTATTCTGGGGCAATAATTTGTTTCCAGGCTGCTGGGCATTAGGTGATAGGGAAGAAAAGTGGTTTCACAATTCGCACAAAATGAAATGAGAGTTTAGGTAACACACCAATTTTACCCCTACTTTTTCAGTATTGTCCCAATGTTGTCTTATGCTCCTGTCCTTTAAAATATGAAAGAAGTATGAAAGTATTCATTGTATCTAATAAACTCCTTAGTAGAATTAGATATAATAAACTCTTTTTATCAAGAGTAATGTTAGTTATAATGTAACAATTCCCTGCTTTTAAAAAAAGGTTTCATTTGAAGCGGTGGTATGTTTGGGCAAACATGCATAAAACTAAGGCTTTTACTTTCAGCATTTGTTATATGGAAAAAAGAACAAATGCATGCAAATACTTTTTATCAGATTTTACACATAATATTCAAGTTATCCTAAAGATACGCTCTAAGAGTCACAGGGAAGAGAGCATGTTAGTTGTAAATGAGGAAATGGCAGAGCTGTGCCAGGTGATGGACCACGTAATATGAACAACAAAACAAGTGTAGAGATGGAAAGTAAAAGCATTTTGGAAAATGGCAAGTACCGTAGTTCACTTTGGATGGAGTGTTGTCAGTTTGCACTGAGGGTCTGGACAGAAACTCAGGTCTTCAAGTTCCCCATAACAGTGCTGGTGGCAGTGCTTGGTGACTTGTTGCCTCTTTACTCACAGCAAGATCAACAGTTCCAAAACTGAAAACAAAAAACGTCTACCTCCAGAGTTGCTGCCACATCTTGACAAGCTCTTCCGGGTCACAGATCCAGTTCTTGAAAATCTGGAAACCTGGAGTCCACAGTGGCAGCTACACAGAAAAGTGTATCTGCTCCAACTACTGCAAACACTTCACGAACCTTCAATCCTGGACATCTGTGTTTTGTTGTGGAATTTCAAGCTTTTAAGTTCCAGTTGATTTTTTTTCTTCTCCTTTCTCCTCCTTTCTCCAGAGGAAAGCCTTTAACACCACAGTCTTAAAGAGTCTTTTGAGGTACATCCAGATTTAATTACAAAAGAACTAAGACCAACACATTTTTTCTCCAAACAGTCACTTCTCTTGAAAGGAAAGCATTGTCTCTGGCCCTTTGGTAAAGGGAATAGTCAACTTATTTTTTTTTTTTTTAGGCTTTTGAATAAAATATCAGAGTTGGTAACCTCTAATCATACAAAATACACTTAAATATGTATGTGTTCACTTGCTTCGAGAGCTGTACCACTTGATAAGCACCACTCCACAAAACGAAAATGTTTGAAATGCAAATGTCCAAACATTTTTATAGTGTTTGCTGGATAATGGCCTGGAATTTGAGAAAAGCAGCTGACAATGAACAGAGAAATAAACAAAAACAAAAACCAAAAACAAACAAACAAACAAAAAAAAAGGCATTTTGGCCATTTCAGTCTCACACTTGCAAGGAATTAGAATACAAGGTTAGCCAGGAAAACGTAAAACTCCAAATTACTTTCAAATATATCGATTTTGTGGTTCAGCCAGAGTCCAACAAAACTTTTCAGAGAATGTTAACCTTCAATTAATAATAAGAACCAAACCAAAAAATAACCCCAAACATCTTCAGGAATCCAATGCCTGGTTCAGTCTGTTCCAGGGAGCCCGCTTACTAAAAATTCACCCGCACCATTAGCTGGGTTTGGCAGCACCATTTAAAAATATGCCTGTTCCCTATTAACCTCGCAAACCAGGGATACAAAATAGGAGCAAACGATGGATGTCAATCACAGTCGGAGAAAATAGTCAATAAAGAAAAGTAGTCAGGCACCAGTACAAGCAGCAGGAAAACAATTGCTGGGCCAAAGATTACATTTCTTGATACTACAGAACACATTCACTCCTAATTGTAGCTGCTTTAGTTTATACTGGGTGCCATTGTACCATACGTATCAGCCACCCTTCAGGCACCCTATGGTGAAAGGAAAGGGCTTCGAATAGACGCCAAGCAGTGAAATGATGTTACCCAAAATAGCCATTATGCATTAAAAAGCAGCTCACATATACCAGGGACTCAGATGGGGGCTTCAAATAGGTTGTGAAGGGTCCCAAATGACATGTAGGCCTCAGTTTCCTCCCGGAGGCATAAAATTGTTTTAAACTCTTTCAGGTCATAGCCCCCCTTTGAAAACTTTGCTATCGATGGATACGCTCATTTCCCTAGAATGCACTTTCCCACATGTTTCTGCACACAAATTCAAGGAGCCCGCCGATCTCCAACGCCAATAAAGGTTCCCGGATTTAATTTCAGGGAATGAGCAATTGCTAAGTCTTCTTGCAACTCAAAGAAAAAAAATACAAACAATAATCACCCTTTATATAAACCGACGCTTTTGTAAAGCGATTTCAATCCCATACACACACTGATAGGCAGAGGAGGAAACTGAGGCGCAGATAAATTACAGAGTGACTTGCCTAAGGTCACTCACCAGCGGGTGGCTAGGCCCGGAAGCAAACCCAGATCTTCCGACTCCGGAGCTCGAATCCCCACCCCGGAGCTGCCGCCAGAGCTCCCGTCCCCCGACTAAGGAGGCATGAGTAGAAAAAGGCAAAGGAGAAAGCCCACCACCAACCATCCTCCAGCTCCCTCCTGCCCCTCCAACTGGGTCCTAGCAGGCCCGGAAGGGTGGCGCCAGGCCTCCAGGCCGGCCCCGGCCACCCCAGCCTCCCCCGCCGCCTCCCCGGGAGCGGGGCGGAGAAGCTGCCCGCCGCCGCCAACCACCCGGACGACTCCTCGTCGAATCGCAAAAGCATAGGCCGCCGCCCGAGTTCTGCGTACGAGAAGAAAGACGCGGCGCGAGCGCCAACGGCCACCGGGCGCGCGCCGCGGCGGCCGGGCCTGCGCCCCAAGAGCTGGATGCCAGAGCAGGAGAAAGAGCCGCCAACCGATCGCTCGATCGACCGCACGCCCGCTCCTTCGCCCTACCAGACCGGGGAGGGGGGGAGGGCGCGCCAGGGCTTCTTCGAGTTAGGGGCCTGACTCCCCGGCGACAAGACAAGATGGCTCCTCCGCTCTGCGCTGCAGCTACCGTCCCGGCTGCGTCGCTCGGCCCGCCCCCGGTACTGTTTCTTTAAATGGCGGAGAGGGTCAGGAAAGCAGGAAGAGAGGCGCGCGCCCTCACGTGACGGGGGCGGGCCGGCCCGAGCGAGATCCGGTCACGTGGGCCGGCGTCGGCCGCCAATCACAAGCTGGGGTCTCAGGGCGGGGGGCGGGAAGACTTGCGGCCCTGTGATTGGCCGAAGGCGCGGCGGAGGCCTTGGAGGCTCGGGCCGTCGGGACTGAGCGAGGTGACTCGCGCTGCGTGCGCTGACGGAGACAAAGCAGTGGCCGAGGCGGCGGCGGCGGCGGCGGCGGCGGTGGCGGCTGCGGCGGCGGCGAAGCCCCCAGCGCTGAGTTTCGTGACGCTAGCCCTGTCGTCATCTGCTCGGCACGGCGTGTCGCGCGCGGGCGGCGGCGGCAGCGGCAGCACATGGTTCCAAGAGCGCGCTGCGGTGGTTGAGTTCCAATTCCGCGGGGAGGGACAAAGGCATCTGCGAGCTGCAGGCAACGCCCGGTCGGGTCTGGCGGCGCGCTCGCCACTGTCCCCTGTTATCTGCCTTGGATCTAGGACTCGCCCGTCCGTCAGGAGCCAGGAGGCGGCCACAGGATCCGGGCCCGCGAAGGCCTGAGGGCCCGAGGCTGCCTGCTGACGGGAGTGGGGGAAGGGCGCGCCTGAGGCGCTTCGGGAGAGGGTGTGCTCCGAGGGGCTTGTGTGGGCCGCTGTGAGCGCCGTCACTCCCCCCCCCCCTGTGCTGATTGCGGCTTGCTAGCCAGCTGCGCTGGGACGGGGCGAGGGGAGAGAAATCGGTCAGCACCAAGGACCTCGTCTCTCAGTGGGGAAGCGGCGAAGCGGGGAAACAGCATCCCCCCTCCACCGCCCTGCCCACGGCAGCACCTGCTTGAGAAGCCTGCTGTCTTCGGTGCTGATGAAGTCCCCGGTGGTAATGACGTAGCTGAACCGTCAGCAGGCCCATTTCCGGATTCTTTTCAGGACATGTAGGAGAACAGAAAAGGACTCGAAGAACGGGAAGATGAAGCTGCAGTGAACTGCCACCTTTGAAGACCATTCGGAACCATTGGCTTCTGACGCTTCGGAATTGCATGAAGGAAGCTTGACCCTCTCCGCTCTCAAGGACTGTAGCTTTAGGATGTAGTTCTTTCCAAAATATTACACATAGTCATTGAAATATTTAAATCACTTCCAGTATCAAATATCTGACTATATTTTGGATAGCTACTAGGGCAGTTTTGTTTTATGTGTCACTAAGAAGCACAAATTGACCCATTACTGGACAGAACCCTGGGGAAATCTATTCTGATATATGTACTTCCCTGTTAACGGGTAAAGAGTGAAGACTCATTGCAGTCATGGCCTTCACCAATTACAGCAGTCTCAACCGAGCTCAACTAACCTTTGAATATCTGCACACAAATTCGTAAGTATCCTGTAGGTGCCACTGGGGCAACCAGTAACTCCTCCTTGATGTTAATAAGGAAATCCTTTCTCCAGAAACTTTTGCTTTTTTATTCTTTGGCATGTGTCATTCGAGTGAGATGCATCACTGGATGACTTGAGTGCTATTGAAGAACTGAGATCAGTGAAATAGTGAAATATTTGTTGCTAATCTAGAAGAAAATGATTTTCATTTACTGGATCAAAATTTTCTAGATGCAAACTTTATATGGAGCCAGTTTATAGAGTTGCTTCATCCAAGTGTTTAATAGGAATCCAACAAGGGATCGCCAAAATTTGGACCATCTGGTATCAACGGTTGCACATCTTTAGTGACAGCCTAGACAATTGGGTTTATAACAAGTGTTTCTAACAAGAAGAAGAAGATGATGATGACATGTAAATGACCAACTTGGAAGAAGAAAGCTGTTATTTTTTTCAGAAAACAATTGGCTTTATATTTTTGGCAAATTGTTAGTCTATCCAATAGTTTGCATATGCTAAGCAGGAGTAGAGATTTCTTTAAAGCCCTTGATTTAGGCGGTCTTTCTCCAAAATACGTGAAATCACAGAAACATGCTGTGTTCGTGGTTCATGAATAAGTGAAGAGATTAACATACTACAATTTAGGGCTGCTTTGTTTGTTAATTTATTTTGAAGACAGGGTCTCTCTACATAGCCCTGGCTATCCTGAAACTGACTGTTTAGACTACGTTGGCCTGGAACTCAACAGAGATCTGCCTGTCTGCCTCCCAAGTGCTGGGACTAAAGGGGTACTCCACCACACCCAGCTAGGGTCAATTCTTAAAACCCTTAATTAAATTACCTTGTGGAGCAAAAAATCTAGTCAAAAACATTCACCTGTCACTTTTGAGCTCAAAGTTAAGTATACTATTGGAGTATTGGGATGGGGAGTTAAAGAAGTCCTAAATGAATGAAGAGCAACCATCTGCAGGTTAGACAGCAGACTTCAGTTATCCTATAATATCGCAGTGATTTTAAACCTTTTGTGATTCCATAGAACTTTAAAAAAATCTTTTCTGAGCAGGGTGGTGGTGGTGCCTGCTTGTAGACCCAGCACTGGGGAGGCAGAGACAGAAGGATCTCTGAGTAAAAAGCCAGCCCAGTCTACAGCCTGAGTTCCAAAACACCCAAGGCTACAGCCTTGTCTCAAAAAACCAAAACCATCCCCCACCCCGGCGATCAACCAACCAAACCAAAACAAAACAGAAAAAGCAAAAAAAAAAAAACACTTCAGAAAAGGAAGTAATTTCTTTTTCTGAACAGTGATTTGTCTAATGCTGAGAGGTTTGATTTTGCGTTATTTAGGAAGTGTTTTTTTTTTGTTGTTGTTGTTATTTATTTTTTGTTGTTTTTTTATCGGAGTAGATCAGTTTACAGATAGAAATTACCTTGGACACAGATTGTGAATCTGGAACCTAGGCCACTAATCAAAGATGGAAGCACAGCCTTTGGCTATACCTTCATCGTTTTTTTTTTTTTTTTTTTTGTTTTGTTTTTTGTATTTGAGTTACATACTAAGAACAAACAGGTGGCTGGCACTTAAATTGTTCATGGCTGATTGTAAATGTTGGCACACATGTCAGATTTGAATTTTGAACTGACAAGGCAAATTTGGAATTACAGATTTTCTGAAACTTGAAGACTGCTTCAAAATCTTTCTTCCTGTTCCAAAATCACTACAGACTTATGCAGTAACAGTAGTATCAGCAATTCATTGCTTAAGCCTATACACTGACAGTTATGCATTTGAGAAAATTGAGGCTCTAAGAAATTAAATTGTTTTAAGGCTTACATTGAGGCTGCAAAGGCAAATTAGAGGTACTCAGATTT